GCTCAGGATTTAGGGGGCTATTGGTTAGGTTTCAAGGATGCCCCCATGACCCATCTTCAGGACCACGGACCGTGAAGGTCCCCGTGGTCCTTAATTGGGCGAGGGGTGTCTGAGGGCTAGGCTAGAAAGGCAATTGCCTAGACGTCACGGACGCCACCACGTCCCGTTGTCAAGGCCACGAACCATGAAGGTGCCGATGGTCTGACGTCTGGGCCTGGTGACTTCCAAGTCATGGCCACGGGCAGGTCAACGGATCGTGGACCCTATCACGGTCCGTGAACCCTGTTGTGGTTCACTACTTTAGGTAGTTTTCTGCAAAAAAAATGATGGGTCTGGTTTTCGAGGTGTTACAATATCTCTCCTTGGGATCATTCGTCCTCGAATGAAGACTAAACTAACTGAAATGGAGGGGATGAACTGCAACCCTACCACTAAAAACTAAAGACTGATTTCTGACTGAACTAAGTTCCAAAAACATGCAAATACCATGAAAATGCAAGTACAAACTGAAGAAACATGGTACTAAGACTGATTCTACGCATGAATGACTGAAAAACTGAAGAAGAACTATTACCTCAAACTGAAGTGGAATCGGAAGGAAAGAGGTGAGGATACTTGAACTTAATGGTTGCTTCTGCTTCCCAAGTAGCTCCCTCTATGGACTGACTCCTCCACAAAACCTTGCCTGAAACGACTTCTTTTTTTCTCAACCTTCTGATCTGGCGATCAAGGATCTCAACTGGTACATCCATATAAGAAAGACTATCTTTTATAGCCACACTCTCTAATGGCATTACGGATGCTGGATCACCCACACACTTCTTCAATAGTGAAATGTGAAAGACTGGATGCACTGCTACTAATTCTGTTGGCAAGTCTAACTCATAAGCCACTTTACCAATCCTTTTTTAGAATCTTGTAAGGTCCTACATATCTAGGACTGAGCTTCCCTTTCTTGCCAAATATCATCACCTCTTTCATGGGTGACACTTTCAAGAAAACCCAATCATCAACTTGGAATTCTAGTTCCTTTCTCCTTACATCGGCATAAGACTTTTGACGACTCTGGGTTGTCTTAAGTCTATATCTAATAAGTTGCACTTTCTCCATAGCATAATGGACTGAATTTGGCCCTATCAAGACTGCTTCACCTACTTCAAACCAACCAATAGGAGATCTGCATCTACGCCCATACAATGCCTCATAAGGGGCCATCTGAATGTTGGAATGGTAGCTATTATTGTAGGCGAACTCTATAAGAGGAAGGTGATCATCCCAACTACCCTTGAAGTCGATCACACAAGCTCTCAACATGTCCTCTAAGGTCTGAATGGTATGCTCTGCCTGACCATCCGTCTGTGGATGAAATGTTGTGCTAAGATTAACCTGAGTACCAAGACTTTTTTGAAATGACTTCCAGAAATAAGAGGTAAACTGAGGACCTCTATCTGAGATGATAGACAAGGGTACCCCATGCAACCTGACTAACTCATTAATGTAAAGCTTGGCGTAGTCCTAAACCGAATCTGTAGTCTTGACCACCAAAAAGCGAGAAGACTTAGTGACTCTGTCAACTATCACCCAAATGGAGTCATGATGTTTGCGAGTACGAGGTAAACCCATGATGAAATCCATGTTGATCACTTCCCAATTCCAAGTAGGAATGTCGATCTCTTGAGTCATACCCCCTGGTTTCCGATGTTCTACCTTCACTTGCTGCCAATTGGGGCACTTAGCCACAAAATCTGCTATATCCCTCTTCGTGCCATTCCACCAAAAGGCTTCCCGCAGATCATGGTATATCTTATTGGCACATGGATGAACAGAATACCTAGAGTTATGGGCTTCTGCAAGAATCTGCTGTCTCAACTCTCCCACGTTAGGATAACATAATCGACCTTGGTAGCGAAACACACCATCTTCCCTTTGGGAAAATACCTCAACTCTTTGTTCATAGACTGCACCCTTGAGTTCGAGCAATATCGGATCATTGTCTTGCTTTTCCTTAACCTCCACTACCAATGAAGATTCTGATCCATTTTGAACTGTCACACCACCATCTGATATGCTCATAAGACGAACTCCTAAACGAGCAAGCTTGTGAACATCCTTTGCTAGCTCTTTTCTTTCTTCCTCAGCATGTGCTACAGTACCCATAAATAGTCTGCTAAGGGCATCTCCTACTACATTTTCCTTGCTAAGATGGTAATGCACACTCATGTCATAATCCTTGAGGAACTCAAGCCATCTTCTCTGGTGAAGATTCAACTCTTTCTAGTTGGCCGCATATTGAAGGCTCGTTGGTCTGTGAACACGTCTACTTGAACACCATACAAGTAGTGTCTCCAAATCTTAAGTGCAAACATCACCGCTGCAAGCTCGAGGTCATGAGACAGATAATTCTTCTCATGCACCTTAAGTTGTCTAGAAACATAGGCTAAAACCTTACTTCACTACATTAACACACAACCTAGGCCAACCCTGGATGTATCACAATAAATCACATATCCATTTGAACCCTCTAGTAGAGTCAAAACAGGAGTTGTAGTCAACCTAGTTTTCAATTTTGTGAAGTTTTCCTCACAATCATCTGACCACTGAAACTTGACCATCTTCTGAGTCAACCTAGTGAATGGTGAGGCTATGGATGAAAATCCTTCCACAAACCTTTTGTAATAACCCGCTAGACCCAAGAAACTTCTAATATCTGCAGGAGAGGTAGGTCTGGGTCATTTTTTCACTGCCTCTATTTTCTGGGAATCCACCTAGTTCCCTTCGTTGGATACTATATGCCCAAGGAAAGCAACTGATTGTAACCAAAACTCTCACTTGTTAAATTTTGCGAATAACTGGCGATCTTTGAGAGTTTGCAGAACAACTCTCAATTATCTCACATGTTCTTCCCCATTCCTAGAGTAAATGAGGATATCATAAATAAAGACGATAACGAACAAGTCCAAATACTACTTGAACACTCTGTTCATCAAATCCATGAAAGCTGCAGGAGCATTGGTTAGTCCAAATGACATAACTACAAATTCATAATGACTATACTGAGTTCTGAAGGCTGTCTTCGGAATGTCACTATCTCTGACTTTGAGTTGATGATAACATGATCTGAGGTCTATCTTTAAAAAATTACTAGCACCCTGAAGTTGGTCAAACAAGTCATCAATCTTAGGGATGGGATACTTATTCTTGATTGTGACCTTGTTCAACTGCCTATAGTCAATGCACATTCTGAGTGAACCATCTTTCTTTTTCACAAGCAACACTGGTGCACCCCATGGCGAGATACTAGGTCTGATGAAGCCCTTATCTAGAAGGTCTTTCAACTGCTCTTTCAATTCCTTAAGCTCAGCTGGAGCCATTCTGTAAAGTGGAATAGAGATAGGCTGGGTATCTGGAAGGAGATCAATTCCAAATTCAATTTCCCTATTGAGAGAAACTCCAGGAAGATCTTCTGGAAACACTTTTGGAAACTCATTAACCACTGGAATTGACTCACGAATTGGGGTTTCGGAGCTTGAATCCTTAACTCGAACCAGATGATAGAGATAACCCTTAGAAATCATCTTTCTGGCCTTAAGGTATGAAATAAATTAACCCATGGACGCTAAGCTACTACCCTTCCATTCTAAGATTTGTTCATTCGGAAACTGAAAATGAACAATCCTAGTTCTACAATCGACTGAGGCATAACAGGAATGTAACCAATCCATGACTAGAATGACATTGAATTTTACCATTTCTAACTCTACAAGATCTGTTGAGGTGACTTTCTGGGAGACTATGACAGGGCAATTTCTGTAAACCCGTCTAGCTATAACAGGGTCACCGACTGGAGTAAAGACTGAGAAAGGTTCTGAGAGAATTTCTGAACTAACATCAAACTTAACTGCTATATAAGGAGTTACAAAGGAAAGAGTAGCCCCTGGATCTAACAAAGTATAAACATCAAGATCAAAGACTCGTAACGGACCAGTGACTACATCAGGAGAATCTTCTTGATCCTGGCGAGACTGAAGAGCATAGAACCTATTTTGGTGATGTCTACCACCTGTACCATATGAGTTACCTTGTTGAGTCGAACGACTTGATGGTGCCACTGAAGTTGTGGACTGAGCTCTACCATTGCCTCATTGACCCTGTTTAGAAGGACAATCCCTCAGCCTGTGACCAGACTGACCACATCTAAAGCATCATTCCTTTCCTGTAAGGCACTCGCCTGGATGGTTCTTACCACACTTAGGGCAAGTTGGGTAGGTTTTGGTTCCTGAAACACTTCCCTGAGACTTAGAGCCTGATGCCCTACCTTTCTGATCTTGTCTGAACTTAGAGGACGTAACACTAGCTGATGAAAGTTCTGGAGCTGAAATTTTCTGCTGACCCTGCGAGTGATTTCCACCACCCGATTTCTACTGAGAATAGTCATAGTTTTCGGTCCTAGCCTTCTTTCTCTCCTTAGCCTGTTCCCTAAGCTTATCACCATCAACTTGCTAAGCATGAGTCACGAGCCTAGAGATGCTTATATTTCCTAGTAACATAGCATTTCTACACTCTGCCTTCACCAAGTCTGACACTCCATACAAAAACTTATTCATCTGAGCCTTGGAATCAACAACCATGTGAGGAGCATACCTGGAGAGTTAGGTAAACTTGAGCCCATACTCTTGGACTGTCATGCTACCTTGCCTTAAGTCCATAAATTCATGTGCTTTCTCCTCCCTTAGCTCTCTTGGGAAAAACCTATCCAAGAAGGTCTCACTAAAGCAATCCCAAGTAATAGGAGCTGCATTTGTACCCATGTTCTCTTTCCACTGAGTATACCAGATATGAGCCACATCCTTAAGTTGGTAAAATGCTAGCTCAACCCGATCATTCCCAGTTACCTGCATCACTTCAAAGATCTTCTTGACCTCATCAATAAAATTTTAGGGATCCTCACCAATCTGTGATCCTAAGAACTCTGACGGATTCATCCTAACAAAATCTCGCACTCAAGCTGCAGCAGACCCAATATTAGCATTTGCTGGAAATTGAGTCCGCTGATTGTTCTGGTTGGCAATGCTCTGAGCTAACATCTGAATGGCATTCTGGAATTCTACATTCAAAACTTCTTGATCTGGGACTGGAAGAGCTGCATTTGCGTTCCTGGCTTTCGCATTCCTGGCATTATCTCTACGATGAGGCATGATCACTGAAACATAGAACGTCGAGTTAGAATGAAATTAGATCATACCTTAAGCACGATAAGACTAACAAGAAAATAAAGATTTTTCCTTAAACACTTTGTAGTCTTCCCTCTCATTAGATGTGGTGCACTTCACACCGATGAAAAAGGCTCTACTTAGAGTGGTTTTTCAGACATCCTAGGACTCTTAAACGTAGTGCTCTGATACCAACTTTTTCACACCCCGAGCAGCCTCCGAGATGCGGACACAGGACCGAGGATCACAAGTGACCCCAAGCTAACCCTGCTGGCAAAATCTTGAGCATACTAAAGATAATACTAAGAAATAAAACTTTTGCGGAAGCTAATCATAAATAAATCTGAATGATGGGGAATACCCATATACTAAAACTGAATATTAAATCTGAGAGTTTAATACAAGATAAACATCAAACTCAAATACTAAGTTGAATCTGACTATGTCTGAAAAATAGCCTCTAACTAACTAGAAATGCTGGGACATGCCCCAACTATGTCTAGCAAAACTGAAACTAAAAGATTGAAATAATGAAAAAGATAACATGACTATTGTCCTAGAAGAATGAGGACTTACCACTGATGGTGATGAACTGGAGATCGAGAACCGATCTAAGTGTGATCTAGATGCTGAGAATCTGAACCTACATCACAAGAAGATGTAGCGTAGAGTATGCGTCAGCACTTGAAAGGTACTGATCATGCAAGACATAGTACAGTTGAAATAAACATATAACTGAACAAGCAATAAAGCAAAAGTATAATCTGAACATGATATAGATACTAAATACTGAGCTAACGGGATGCATTGACCAAATTTAGACATGTTGATGTTGAATACTGATTATACTGAAATGTGGTCAATACAATGGAGTCTTACTGGACTCTAGGAGCTACTAATAACCGATAATAAAACCACATGAGCCAAATGTGGAATTCTATGTATACGCCCCATCGAGAGGACCCAATACACTCGGCCAAAGTTGTAGAGGCATGCTGGCGTGATCACTAAAATGATACACCCTAGGTTTAGTTAATAATAGGGAATCAAGAATCTGACTGAATTCTAGGAACCTAATGGGAGAATGGAACCCACTAGCGAAATCCCACATACCAGGTGACGAATTCCATGGAGATATCTTTCGATTTCGAGGTTGGAACTGATGGAACCTTTTTGCGTTCTTGAACTAGGGTTGCTCACCTCTTTCTCCTCTTTCTCTTCTAATGTCAAAATTTTCTAAGTTTGATGAAAGATCTAATGTAGGTAAGTTCTAGTTATGTTTCTAGGCTAAAACTAAACAAAACGATGTAGTTTAGGGTTAAAATGATGTAGTTTAGGGGTCCAATGAAATAGGAAAAGACCAAAAGACCCTTGACTTAAATTGCTGATGAGGCTGACCACGGCCACCTTCACGAATCGTGAAAGGGACCACGAACCGTGAAGTGGGTCGTGGTCTTCACTTGGTGACTACTAAGCTGAGTGTCTATCTCTCAAACCTTACCACGGCCCGTGTGAGAGACCACGGACCTTGAAAGTCTTCGTGGTCCTCACTTGGGCTAAGGTCTGGTGGCTCAGGATTTAGGGGGCTACTGGTTAAGTTTCAGGGACACCCCCATAACCCGTCTTCAGGACCACGGACAGTGAAGGTCCCCGTGGTCCTTACTTGGGCGAGGGGTGTCAGCGAGCTAGGCTAGGGAGGCTACTGCCTAGACATCACAGACGCCACCACGGCCCGTCATCAAGGCCACAGACCGTGAGGGTGCCTGTGTTCTGATGTTTGAGCTTGGTGACTTCCAAGTCATGACCACGAGTAGGTCAACGGACTGTGGACCCTATCACGGTCCGTGAACCCTGCCTTGGTTCACTGTTTCAGGTAGTTTTCTTCAAAAAAAAAAATTGTGTCTGGTTTTCGAGGTGTTACAATTTCCCTGACCAATTATTCTTCTGGATTAGTATCATGACTTAGTTGGACAGTCATTTGTTATGGAAGTGCTATTAAAATTATCCTTTATTGTACTTTCGTCTCCATTTCCAATACGAAGCAAGAAGTCTCTGAAAGTTGTATCTGCTTTTGCTCGCATATTTGTCGAAAGTTGAATCTTTTCCATTAAAGACCACCAATACGACCTAACCAAACTTGCATCTATCGTATCTGCGCGTGTAGATTTTGGTACAACAGGAAAAACTTGATAAAAGTCCCCTCCAAATACCATGACTTTACCTCCAAAAGGTATGGCACTATCCATTATATCGCGAAAGCTTTTGTCGACTATTTCAATTGTTTGTTGCTTAGCCATGGGTGCTTCGTCCCATATTATTAACTTTGCTTGTCTTTGTTTAGCTCCCCGACTTTGTTTTGACATATTTTTCATTGTTGTTTCATTTGCTTGTAATGGTATGCCAAATCTTGAGTGTGATGTATGACCTTCAAGCAATATTGTTGCCGCTACACCACTGGTTGCAGATGCCAATGCTATCATACCTTTTGGTCTCACCTTTGTCAATAATGCCCGATATAGGAAAGTTTTCCCAGTTCCCTCAGGCCCATCTACAAAGAATAACCCCGGTGTTTCTGAGTTGACCCTTTCGAGAATGATATTGAAAGCTTGTGCTTGTTCTTGATTCAACTTTGATTGAGCTTCAATATCTTCAACTGGCACCTTCACAGACATTTCTTCTATTATTTCACTACATTCATGTGGGCCAATTTGATGTACTTGTTGTTTGATTTGAGAGATATCATATTTGTCCACACTTTGTCCCATACTCTCCAAGTAATAGTTAATACTTTTCAAGGTACATTGGATTTGTGCCTCAGTTGTGCTGGAATGGCTCCTATGAAAGTGTTCGGACATATCATTGTAATAGGTGTCCCAGAGACATCTAACATATGTTGGGTTGCAATGAACTAAGATTGTAGCAAACAAACATCGAAGGGCGCTGGGCAACTCGAAAGTGACAGCCTCGCGTAAACATTCTGAAATGTTGTTATCTGATTCTAATAACCCTCTTTTCTTTGGCTGCCTACTTAAAAGTTTCACAATACTTTTGTCACGACCCAACCCACCGGGCCATGTGGGCACCTACTCTAACACCTAAGTAGGAGAACCCTCATATCCCAATGTTTCAAAAATGCGGAAAATTAAGAAAACTACCAAATAAAAGAAATTCATGTAATTTATAAATAAAAGTTTTTAAATACAATTCCAGTTAAGAGAGCTACTAAGAGTACAAATTAGAAACAAAATAACGAAAAGACACAGCTCCCACCATGCGGAAGGAAAAATAGAAGCTGCTGGAGATTGCCTTCTCCTTCATCTATGAAACATCACTGATCCTGCAACCAGACTATGCCAAAAAGTCATAGCAAGAGTAGTACCAGTACAACCACACGCACTGGTAGGCATCATCGGTCAACCCAAATACCCACCGCATAATATAAAAAATCAACTGACGAAACATGGAATAAGACTTTTCATTCCTTCACCTTTATAGTTCCCTATCCTTACCATATACAGATACCCCTTACTCATTCCATTCTTGATCGCATCCTAACCATTTTGTCTCTTGGAGGAAATTCTGAATATACTACTACTACCCCAACCTCAACAATAATACCCATGGCCATATTCTGAATAACTAGGATAGAACCGAGACCTTTAGTTCCTCATTACCATGCCACAGCCCGATCTAGGGCCCTACCAATCACAATTTCCTACACAAACATATATCTCCAAATAACTTACAACGTTGCAACCCCATACCTAAGAACATAATGACAATACACTAATCATTTCAGGAAATATGTTAAATTCCACATTATCAATCCCAAGCAATTACGCAAATATGACAAGTCAATGGTCCTCTCATGGAACCCATACCCAAACTGTTAGTGTACCAATACGTGGTACCCGATCCAAGTTAGTATGCCGAACGTGACACCCGATCCCATATATGAGCCGAAACGTGGCATCCGATCCAAGTTAGTGTGTTGGACGTGACACCCGATCCCATATATGCAATGGAACGTGGAACCTGATCCAAGTTAGTGTGTTGGAACGTAACACCAGATCCATTCAACAAGCCACAATCACAATCATAATGTACATTCTCACAATCATACAACCAAATCATGATTCATGACATACAATTATTCAATCATCTTCATTTATGATTAATGTGATCAATAATTCAACATTCGCATACATACATGCATTATAATGAAGTAATTACTAACATACATCACACCAACATGAAATCACAACCATCACCTACCCCTAGTTCATCGACTAAGGCTTTGTCCTACGGTATACTTTTGATTGAATACCTAGGGTACAAGTACAACATCTTATTTCGGTGCACAAAAGCCTATGCGTGAATTCTACCATCAATTTCCATATACCACGCAGTGAATAACGGATTTTATAACTACTCAATGAAATAAACCTACCCTACCTGGGCGCCAAGCAGCTGCATGGAATTATGGCTTTGGTTCTTGTTTCCGGACCTCGTGATGGTGGATTTGACCAAATATTTGCAAGTTATCGACCTCCCCATAATAGAAATCTTTTCCTCCTTCTTTCCCAAGCCTAGAGCATCTTTTGAAGGGTTTCTGGGGTGATTTACGTCTAATTTAGGTGTTTTTGGAAGTAGGAGAAAATAAAACTTTGCGTTATTTACATTTTGTCTTGCCTATCCCTCTCCGGTGGCTACTTATCCCGTTGTGGCGCTGCGGCCCTAGTGGCATCTAGCCCGCCCTGGCGGGACAGTGCCCTGGTATTTTCCCATCTTTTGCTTTTCCTAAATAACGACGGTTCGGGTCGTTACAACTTTCCATTAACCGTAAGTAAGTTTTCAAATAAATTTGGCCCTCGAACATGATTCAATAATAGCCTTTCGTAATACCTTTCTCCTTCTCTAGGATTCACTGCGATATTGAGTCGATATGTTTATTATGTTAATTTTGTGTGTTAAATTAACATAGACAGTAAGTGTAATTGTCTTACCAATATTTATGCAACCAATAACGGTGTGTGATTTTCTTTTCGTCCAAATATTTGATTGGGATTCCAAACATAATGCTCGGGAAATTCTCTGTAAAGATATTTGTGAGCCTCAACGTCTATAGAGCACATCCTAAAATACTCGATAAGCATAGTTTGGTTTACAAAATCTGATCCCACAATATTTTGTAGATTTTGCTTCTTGTAGTAGCACATTACATATTGTTTTGTAAGTATATTATAAATAAATATAGTTTTTTCGGCTAGAAATTGTTAGTATCTCTAATATCTGACTAAAATTTGTAAAGTACCTGTTTGTTTTCCTGGTAGATGTAATTGCAGGTTTATAACTGTTGGTTGCATTTCAGTTAGGTTGAACTCATAAATTCACCACATTGCTTCTAGTGGAGACACCCAGCGTGCATCTTGGATGCTTTTGATTTCATAAATGACTTTTTCCCCATCGTTTGATTCTATGTGTACGGCACATTTGTCGTGGCCTTTATATATATTTGTAAAGATACTTTATTTCTTTAACTCCTGAGCAGACCTCAACATTACTATGAAAATTATATCTCATCAACAAATATGGATTATAAGGTACAACCCATGGGTTATTCATCTTCATTCCTCTGACCTCACTTGTTCTACCATCATTTATTCTTCTATAAATCGGATATCCATCACTTCCTTTTATTGTTTTGTTGTTGAATGTTCGAGGGTAGTGAAATTTACATTGTCCATCCTTCATACATGGGCTTGTCTTACATTTTTCCCCACAAGGTCCATGTATCATATGTCTGATAACTAATGCACTTAATTCTGGATGTATGGCACTATCCGGGATTTCTGAAGTAATGTATCTATCATACTCATCTGCTGATCGTATCTTATTACCTTCTTTAAATATTAGAAGCAGGTGTATATGTCGTAAGCCTCTCTTCTGGAATTCTACCACAAAAACATGTGTTGCAATCGGTCCAAATTTTTCTTTTTTGAAAATTTGGTCTCTCAAGTCTTGCAATTTCTCTCGGAACACTTTGGTAAGCAAATCAGGCCTGTCTTGAGGTAGTTGACCTGGACACAATGCTTCTTGAATCTCAACCCAATCTGGGTTACATGTCATCGTGAATAGATCTGGTGTTCCAAATTTTTGAACCAACTCCATAGCATCCATATACCGTCGTCGCATATCCCTAGGGTCTCCAATGAATGATCCTGGTAGTAATACCCTATGTCCTACCTTGTCTCCTCTACTCTCACCGGGATGACACTATCAACAATACCTTGTAGTATCTCTCTTCGATAATTTGATTGTTCTAATCTATAATATTCAAGTCTTGTTGTTTCTATTTTGATGTATATGTCCACAACAAACTGCTACAACAATCTCCCACACAGTAATAATATGGACTCGTCACCCATTCGGACTTGTAGTTCAAAATAGTAGTACTCCCTGCAGGAAACACAACCTTTTGTTTCACGTCATACACCTACATGAATTTAAAAGTACTTGTTATGGCTTATTGATTATGGTTGTGGGAAAGTCATGGACATAACTGGATAATGCAACACTGTCATTGAGACCATCCAGTTATTTTTTTAATCTGTAAAGTAAACTATCATACATTGCTTTTTTTTCTGGTCATGTAGAATATGTGGAAAGAGGTTTTGTCATGCAAATTAAATCATATGGTCTATTTTGTTGACCAATTTTTATGGTCAATCAGTGTCTACAATTGTACCTAAAGTGGTGCATGGATATATATAATTGTTCTTCTTGCAACTGAATAATAGGTATGATAAGATAGGAATGCGTTAATATATTATAATTTTGATAAGTCAAATGTATTTATTAGTCGACTGATATTTTGAGTAAAATAGTTTAGGCTTTTGTTAATACTAATAATGATAGTCATGTTACACAAATTTAATTCCTTGCGTCGTCCCTTTAGGAATAAAATTAGTGTATGGGAAAACTACATGATCGCTAGTTGTTTGTGATTTTTCTCCCTAGATAACTTATCCATATTATGTTTGTAGTAGCTGTAAATTTTAAGTTACAAGTTGCAATATGCTAGGTGAACGAAAAGATATTTTTCTTGGCTATATTTAAAAGTGGTTACCTTGCTCTTTATTGGCAGACATCTCTGCGGCATTTGTGAATGACGATCTACCTATCTGGGACTTGTTATTGTAGATGTTTGAGTGTTGTTGATTGGATTGCAACACTTTTGTATTCCTTAATGCCAACCTCCTTCTCCTTTAGGAAGTATTAGAGGATATCGAAGTGGATCATAACAACCATAATAATGTTTGACTCGATGTTTATAACCTGAGTGTTCGTGTACTGCAATATCTCTTTCAAACGGTGTATTTGGATTGTTATCGTCTACCCAAATAGCTGCCACCTGATCCACCGAGGGTTTGTTATACACCCATTGGTCTACTAAAGCACTTGCAGCTATGCGTATTTCTAGATTTTGAAAGCTTGTATATTCTTTAAGCTGAGAGAAGAATTCTGCATATGGATTCCGCTCCATTATGTATCTTATTTTGGTCATGACTTCCTCTAATAAATTGGCATCTTCTAGTACCGACATCTTATTGGCTAATTCATGGTCTGTATCATAGAAGTATAGTTGAAAGTACCATGGTCTATCATTGTT